TTTTCGAGTTTAAAATAAACAAACATATTTTGAAATTATTTTAGCATTTGAATGCTGCATAAATCAAAATAAAATGGATAGCAAATAAATGGAAATTTCAGCTATTATGGAAAGTCTGTGGATGTTTGGATCCGGGGAACCGTCGGGGTGGGTGTCCGATCCGATCCAGTTCAGTAAAACCGGTGAAACTTTGTGATATTAGCGTCATTTTTCGTTTCTGACGCTGGTCCTCATACCGGCCTCTTTCTAAGTTTAGTGTTCGGGGATGATCTGTTTTTCTTTCGACGTCGGGTGGATGGTGAGGATGATATGGGGATCGGCATCAGAAACGACGGATTGACGTTAATATTGTGATGTTCCACCGGTTTTGTCGAGCTTGGAACACTTGCTTGCGTTGGTTTCCGGACCCTCTACTTTGGTTTCGCCGCTTGCAGGCCGTTTTCGGTTAAGTTTGCCGAATGTAAACAAGAAGGAAAAAAGGACACGCTAAAAATTGATTACCCAGATTATGTATTGTTGAAATAAACATGCTTTTGAATTTAATTTAAACATACATATTTTTGTTGAAAACGTATTTTTAATTTACTTTGAACTATTCATATTTTTATTTAATAAACATATATATTTTTAACTTAAATGAACAAAATTTGGTTCCGTGTACACACACACATACACACATACACACATACACACACACACACACACAGACATGTTCCGATCTCGTCGAGCTGAGTCGAATTAAAGAAATTATGCATTTTCGTGTTCAATGGTTTTGGTTTATTCAATAGATAAAAAAAGAAGCAAAATTTAATGAAGCAATTTCTTGCTAAAATTTTCCAATCGCAAGATATTTGCGATCAATTATGTATATAAATTCAGGATTTTTTAGTTTTTTTTTTTCTAGCGTCTTGGAAAAAAAAAACCTTACCTTAATTCGAAGTGTTTCTGGTTAATTGACAAAGTCATGTGATATTCGGTCATTCCGAGAATTTGTATGAACCACTTCAATACTGTTACGCATTTGATGATGATGATGATGGTCCCACCTCTTACCCCTACAAAGGTTTGAGCTGGACGATTTATCTTCAAGATAATTAAATATGACAATTTAACCAGGTTTGCAAACAAAATCGAACTGGTTACAGTTACAAATATAAATTCCCTCTAGAGTTCACAGTTGCTTCACAGCGATATAAATGTGAACCAGAAACGTTTGGTTGCTGGGTTCATTTTCAAAGAGCTTTGGGGCGACTCAAAACAAACATAGTGTAGAACTAGAATATTGACTAAAATGGGGTACGTTAATCGATTTGCTTGGGACCAATAGGCTAGTCAAGTAGTGAGCCAATTTAAAATTGTTAGTTTCCACAGGTTGCTATTAGCATATGCACACATCCAGAAAGTTTCATTGAAATCTGAGAGGGTGCTGCCAGTTCCGAATACGATTTGGCGCGAAATGCGTCCATAGAGGTAACTCTAAGACCAGAAGGTCCCGAAGAAACGTGCTCAACTTTTTAGCTCAGCTCTGGTACTATCTTCGGTGCCGAGCTAATCGATTCACCCCTCGAAACATAGGAAAATCCAGGAACCCCTCATTTTATCTGTCAAACTTTCATAGCAAATCAAAACAAACATAGTGTAGTACTAGAATTTCGACTAGAATGGTATAAACAAATTATACATATGTGTCGGACACATAATTCTTATGTGTACATATAAAATTCATATATTTTTTTTTCCTTTGGTTTGTTTTTTCCGTCGATCTTGTTTTCCGTGCTGAGCACCAATGCTACCGATGTGCCAGGAAGGCAGCTCCCACACCTGGACCCTACCTATCGACCCATCAACTCATGAACCGAGGACCAACGGCTTTACTTCCCATCCGAAGGAAGGCGTGATCAGAGATGTTATGCCTCAGAACATCCTGGTGGCGCCGACTGGGATTGAACCCAGGCCTGCTGGGGTGAAAGGTAATCACGCTTACCACTACACCACCGGCGCCGTTATAAAATTCATATGTAACCACACATACTATTAATTTGACTCATGAATTGCAAGTTTACTTCAGAGTGGATTATGTTTATTCACACATGAAAATCATGTGGAATTTTCGGAATTTTACATGGAAATTCGTCAATGAAAATGTGTCGAATTTTAAGAGTGAGGATTACATACTTTTAAGTTGTTTTCACTCAATGTCTAGTTCAAACTACACAGCAAAAAAAAATGTATTATCGCTCAACGTAATTCAAGCTGATGTATGAAATAATGATGTAATAGCAAAAAGCAGATACAATATTACATCAATAGATGTAATTTTGTTCGCAAAATTATGTACATCGTACAACGTAATATTACACAACCGGCGGAATGACCTCTGTGCAGCTGTTTGGATGTAATATTCAACAACTTTTTTTTCTGTATACTCAAAATTGAGTTTTACATGACTTACTCAATTTTAACTTGGCGCACGGAACTGTCGAGCTGGGTGACTGGAACTCAATGTTGAGTTGTTTTGCTATTTTCTTTTTTGGCAATAACAAGAGCACGGCCAATCATACCAACTCAGTGGCTGAGATTAATTGACTCAGAGTATTTTCTTTCCATACAAAATTTACTCAGATATGAAAAAAAAAACTGCAGTTACACAGCAAAAAAAAATGTAATATCAATCAATGTAATTCAAGCTGATGTATAAAATAATGATGTAATAGCAAAAAGCAGATACAATATTACATCAATGGATGTAATTTTGTTCGTAAAATCGATGTACATCGTACAACGTTATATTGCACAACCGATGGATTGACCTGGTTGCAGCAGTTTGGATGTAATATTCAACAACTTTTTTTTTCTGTGTACTCACAAGCTATGAGTAACTGCAGTTTATTCCAAATCTGAGTAAATTTCGTATGGACAGAAAATTCTCTGAGTCAATTCATCTCAGTCGCTGAGTTGGTATGATTCACGGCAACCGCAACATACCTAATAATCACTACAAAGTAAGCATGTTCGAGGGAAACTGGGACTACATATGAAATGAGTAAAATTTTACCCATTTATGAGTAATTACAACTACAAAAACAAGTAGTAAGTATTCATTTTTGAATTACAAATAATCATAAATGGGTCATATTTTTACTCATTTAATGGGTAGTCCAACACGGTAAGAAAAAAGTACCCAACATTAAGTTACTTTCACTCAACACGTGGCATCAGTGGGGTTAGGTAAAATTAAGTTAAACAAGAAAACTCAATTTTGAGTAATCCTGATGAAGAATCCATTGAGTAAAAATTACCTAACGATCAATCGAATGGAAAAGGTGAAAAATACCCAACGTACCAGCATGCAACCGGTTTTCGTTGCAACTTTTTTTGTCACTACCCCCTACGGATACCATACATAAACGATATCATAGATGGTACGACCATACCGCATAGAGTTGGGATGATATCCTGAATTGACAAAGTAACCACCAAGCCCGCTAACTACCCGATAATCGCCCTTTTTGCTATATAAGGTAATATAGGGTTTCCGAACATTACATAAGTCGTATATCAGCCTTATATTGCAAAAAGGGAGATTCTATGCGTTTCTTATGTGTATGCGGGATATGTACCAAATACTAACGAAGACTAATGCGAGGACTAATTGAGCAGGAACGGAGGCGATGGAGCACAAACAAATGACAACGTCGATGGTAGTGCAGGTTGCTATGATTTTCATCCAAAATTAAGTTAAAAGTACCCAACGGTGAAACCATAACGGTTGAGTACTATTAACTGAAAATTGAGCTCTTTTTTACTTTGAATCGCAGCGTGTTTTAGTTAAACGGAATGTATCGATAAATATTTCAGGATATTCTCCGTAAATTACTTTACGCAATTGATGAATCTACGTTACGGTCGGCCTGCAGATGGAAATGATGTGAAAATGATACTGACGTTTTGCTAGCTGTCAGATCGTATGGAATATTTTTTAGTACATCATCACTTTTGTGGTTTTGGATTTCAAACCTAGGTGTCGCATGCACTGGTGCAGTTTCGCGTACAATTTACTAACTTGACCATTTTAAACAACTACGGAAAGTACTAATTCAATCAATAATGACAAATACTACGTTTTGAGCTAAACGATGATTAACAGAAAATTAACTTAAATTTAAGTTCATGTATTATTACTCAATAGATGAGTAAATTTGACCCATCGCCGCTTTTCTGATTCTTTCAACGGTATAGACCTCAAATGATAGAACCCAATGGTGAGTTTTTTTAAACTTAATTGGCAAATCAAAGTTGGCTCTCGTGGAGAATAGAAGAACTATGAAAGTGATGATGGTTTCAAAATTTTCCACGGGGAAGTATACGAGTGCAATCTTAAAATGCTTTTATTTTGTGAATGGAGCATTTTATTTAAATCTGGTTAGTGCTACGTTAGTAGAAAACTTCAGGACTACTCAATAGACATATAATACAAAAAACATAATTTCTTTTCAGATTTTTAGGTGTAAACATAGACTTTCGCTTTTCTACCACTGTAGCAGTAACCAGATTTAAATAAAATGCTCCATTTTCAAAATAAAAGCATTTTAAGATTGCACTCGTATACTTCCCCGTGGAAAATTTTGAAACCATCATCACTTTCATAGTTCTTCTATTCTCCACGAGTGCCAACTTTGATTTGCCAATTGTGAAAAAAAAAATTTCGTACCATACAGTCTCCCTCGAAAATGCTTAATTTGTAGTCATTATTGGGTATTTTGCGGTTACCGTGTTAGCCGTGAGGGTAAGTGAGAGGCATCAACTCAAAAGTAAGTTTAAAGAACTCAACCGTTGGGTAGTTTTGGTTCTCCGTGAATAGCGTTCTTCATCTCTGATCCGAAGCTGTCAAACAAAATTATTTTCTTAGTTTTTGTTGTGATTCATTTTCTCAATAAAAGATTATGGTGGTTTTTTTTTTAAATTTTTATTCAATCATAAAAAAAATCTTTTTAGGTGATACGAATCGTGTCGACAATATATTTTCTTGGCTGATTTCGTTGTGAGAAGTTTGATCAGTGCGTGAACGAATCATTCAAATTCGTGAAAATGGCACCCAAGGAAACAACGAAGAAAACCCTTAAAAGAAAGGCAACGCCGATCCAACCAAAGGTTCGTCACATCCGTCACATTCATAGGGGCAAATTAAAATCCAAAACCAATGTTAACATTTACCACAGGAACCCACAAAACGTCAACGGAAGATCAATACCACACCCAAACCGAAGAAATGCATCCAATGGGTTAATCCGGCGCTCAACCTAATCCAGAACGTCGCTGGACATCCAACGGTACACGCTTTGACTCAATATGCCCACAGCCCCATCCTCCAGCTTCCCCTGCAGGCAGGTATTCTGACACAAGATACCATACATCGACACTTTGAGCCAACATCGTGGAACATAACTTATCCGGTTCCCTTGATAACGCACCCAAACAATCCTGAGTACGGTCAGCGGGAATTCATTGATCCTATACTGAGGTTGGTGAAAGCCAAAAAGTCTCATTCTACTACTTTGCATCGTATGAAGAGTACCTATTCGAGAAAGAAAACCATGTTAAAGAAGGTTTGCAAAGGAAAGGAACGAAGTTTGTATTCCAGCATGGTTTTTAAAGTTGCCGAACAGATTGAACGCGACCCAGATCGATGGTTCTCCGATATATTTGGATACGATTACTACTTTACCGGAGGGAATATGGCCATTGTCGATAGCGAGAAATTCAGATGCATTATAAACACCGTAGGCGAGAAGATGGATGTAGTTGAAATAGTTCAATTCACAGTGGATGAAAATCGCCTGAATGTAGACAACAACCAGTTGGAACGGTATGAGCTTAGTAAAGAACATGGAGCAGTATTCGAGATATGCTGGTCGGAAACAGAAGATGCATTTGAGGATGAGTCATTTTTGGACAACAGCGACTTGAATGTTTTCACTGATGCATGTTTGATGATTGCTGTTAGGAGGAAGCATAAGATTGATGTACTTTTGACTAATGGTAATTCCAAGAAAACTAAGATAATTTCATCAGAGATACCATTTATTACCTGTTGCTTTCCTCAAGAAAGAGGTGATTCTCTTCTATGCACTTCTGATATGAATAAAAAGCTTAAAATCTGGAATTATGGCAAAAATGAAGTGCTTCATGAGTTGCAACTTAAAAGGGCGGACGGAGCGGATGATTGCTGGACATGTATTCGCCCAATCAGAAAGAACTACGTGGTTTGTTTGGACCGAACCACAATCAAATTGTTCAATACTACATTGAATCTAGCGTTAGTGCTAGAAACCCCCCTTGCCGTGTGGTTATGGACATGTGAAAGAGCATCCTGCATGGAAGTTTGCATTGAAAACAGGTTCCTGTTCATAGGAACAACTCATAAATTGCTGGTCATTCAACTGGTTGACTCGCAAGACAACGGACCGCCGGAATTTCAACAGATCATTACCTTTACACACAGTTTGAAGCACTTCCCGACGATGGTCAAGTATGGGTCGGATTCCTATCAAAACTACTACGTTTGGATTTCGTCGCAAATGCCCGGTGATACGACAATTTGCAACTTTTCAAAAGTACCTCCTAAACGGTTCGCCACCAATAATCTACCGCAAAAACCGTTCACAGTTCACGAATCATATCATTTGGCCTGTATCAAGGGGAAATGCATCTACTCAGCATCTGCTTTGAAACATCGACTCCACCTGTTCCATTCCGGCTTGGCCATGCTGGTTGATTCCGATCGCACCCATTTACTCTTGCAAACCTCGTTCGGTGACATCTTCCACCAGCAAGTCATCGATGAACACGACGAAAGCAATGCCAACGAAATTCCCACTCTCTACCACTCGTGGATGCTCAAACTCAACACACTCAACGATGAGCAACCAAGGCCTCTAGCAACAGACTTTAAAAGTTTTCACGGTTTCAAAAAGATCCTTACCTGCACCAACATCGATCCTCCAATTGTTTCTGAACATCCGGATAACCCCTTCCGAAAGCGTTTACGTTGGAAGCAGACAGTCGAACAGCTTCATCAATATAAAGACCTCCTAGCACCGGGCATGCTTTCGATCTGGGGCTATCGTCCGGATGTCACTCGCGAAAAGCAAAAACGGCGACGGCTGTCCACCGACGAACCGATGGATGTAACGGATCGTGTTGCCAGCTGGCTGGATACTACTGCAGTTGATGTTACGGTTACCAAGGAACATCAGGAAGTAATGGAAGGGACGGCGATCGTGCAGATTGTCAGTTGTCGTGAGGATATGCTTCAAAGCGAGATGGAAATCGTTGAGGATGTAAAGCCAGTAATTGCGCACGATACTGATGTAACGTTCATTGGTCCGGTTAGTTCCAGTGGAATAGTGGCTAGGAAACCAAGAGAAGCGACGAAACCGAATAGAAGGAAGTACGTTAAAGGATTCTGAGATCCGAAGGGAATCTGTACTTGAATATTTTTTTTAAACTGCTAAATAATGCTACCGCCATATGATAGAAATTGAACAATAAAGGATTTATATCATCGCAAAAAAATCTTTCTGCTTCATTGAGAAACAGCCCGAGCAGAGAATGAAAACAAAATTGATGACTCATAATCCTCCTTGTATTGTTCACGAATCCTGCTTTATATACTCATAAATATGTTATTATAATTCACTACATTACCTCTAAAATACTGGAATTCATTAGATAGCTAGTTTATTTTGACTTAAAACAAAATAGAGATTGAAAAACTAGCTTTCAGTGATAAATGTGCATGCTTTTTTAATCAAATGTCATAGTTTGTTTTCAAATAATTTTTAGGAACATCAAAATAATATCAACATATGAACAACTCAATGAAAAAAAAAAGAATATTAAAATATGTTATCAATATGATTTCAAAAACATAATTTGATAATATTTTGATATCCGACTTTGGTGGGCGTTGGCCAGATTTGGATTTTCCAGAAATAATCCTAAATAGGACCTAGATTATGTAATACTCTAGTAACCTCAAGTCCGTGCTCTGCCACAATGTTTCATTGTGATTAATCAACACTCAAAGGGGTAAAATATTACATTTGGGGTGAATTTGAAAGAAAGGGAACTTGGAGTGTAGAGCGCACTGCCCACTGGACTATTCTGAAGCCTGGCCAAGTGAGTTGGGTATGGGTTTATTTGATTGAAGGTCATTTTTAATTTATATATTGATGCATTCAAACCATTGGCATTTGGTATTAGAGATTAGACTGAGATAGGATGCGGAGGGCCCGCTTAGGGGGAGCGTAACCCATGTTATGGTTTCCATTTATTAAATAGTTCAGATAGGTTAGAAATGACAGGTTCATAGTAAGATATGGTGCCCATTTAAGAGATGAACTAGCCTCAGGCTAAAAATCTCTATAATAAAGAAAAAAAAAAAAAAAAAAAAAAAAATGGTGCCCATTCACTGATCAAAATCAGATTCACATCATCAGGGCCTGCCCAAGAATAAGAGGATTGACGATGATTTGTCAAGTTTTATTTTGCAATTTGCATATAATTGTAATTATAAGTTTGCTTTTTTAATTATAATACATTCAAAGTGTTTTTATGTTACTTCATACGCGAAGTTTGCGATTTTCAGAGTTGGTTGGAAATGCTATCTAACGTGAACCTTTAGTGTGATAATGTATTAGCTAGATAATGACATTATAAGAGGGTAGGTAGATAGTTCCGTTAGAGTACGGCAGTATGAAAATTGAATGGAACTTGAAAATGAGCGAAGGGCTATTAATGCGACAGTGCAAGTCAGACGCACACTCTTTGCCTAACCCGTACGATGTACGCGGAGATTTGAAGTATGTCTTCAAATCTACAGGCAAAAAGTGTGCGTCTGCTTCTGCTCAAATACTACGTGCGGCTGTGGAATAGTTCTAGCGACATTTCATCACTACCTAAGAGTGAGTTTGTTGAGATCGGGTATAGTTTCTGAGTATGTTGTTTGTGGATTCCCATTTTGAAATAGCTCAGATTAGCACAGAGTAATAGTTTTATTGCTAGGGAACTTTCTTTTGGGATCGTCTTTTCTTCATACAATTCTCATTATTCAAACTATATTAATCATGATCAGTCTTAGAAAATGTTATATGTTTGTTATTAATATCTTTTGCATTGCAGCTCGCGAGAGGTTACCCAATATGAGTTCTCTTTCTCATCCACAAAAGTTTGGGGGGAGGGGGCGATCTGAGAGCTGAATAGAGGCAAATAAATTAGCGAACACAACACCATGACCCAAACGACTAACCAACACATGCGGTGCACACTTCTATTTCTTTCTTTCTCTCATGTACCAATATTACCTGTCTGAGAACAAATGGGAACACGGCCAGGAGGAAAAATAGCGAGAGAGCATGAGCAAGAAAAGAAAATAAGACATGCATCGGAAAGAGTAAGCAGTCAGAAAGGATCACACCGATTGGAAACAGTCAATTTATACTGGACGGAACTGGTAAGTAGGATAAGAATTGTAAAAGGTGTGTGCTTGCATGATTTACCTATTTTAGCCAATAAGCTACATCAGAACCTCATTTCCTTCAATTACTACTCCATCGCAGCACACACACACACACACACACACACACACACACACACCTAATAATGATTACTAACCTTAATATAGTTTCAACATTATCGATATTTTCATATTTTTTTTTCTTTTTGCAGCGTTTGGTGGGGCAATGGGAGCGCAAGTCAAAAGCCGAGGATAAAGGAAAAGTAATGGCTGAATGGCTGAATAGTCTATGCGGACCACTTGAACGCCATGGGCAGGGATTGGAGAGGTCGGTTATTGGGGGGTTTTGAGGGAATGAAACATAGTACTAGATTTGTGCTGCAAAATGTAAAGAAACCGAAAATACATCTCCCACTGATTCATCCTTTCACATATTTACCAAATGGACATTTTAAAGCAACCATCAAAATAAACAGACAATATATCAATAGGCTAGTTGCCAGTTGCTTTAAAGCGAAGACATCATATCAAGAAATTCGTTCGAAGCATTTACCTTTGAGCGGCAGATGACGCGATTATACCTGTCTCATAGCGTTCGTATGAGAAAATGGAGGAGTTACCAGTCTTCTTGATATGTTGTCTTCGTTTAAAGGCTAGTTGCCTCCCTAAGCGGACCCCCCGCATCCTAACTCTTTTGTTAATCGACTTAATGTTATCAAGCTGCCTAAATTTTCTTATTAAAGTTCGTTTGATGATTATGATATCTCATTAGCCTAATTTAAAAAATAATTGAAATCTCTAATCTACCTAATCAATTATAACTCACGCTTTATTAGGTACCTGCACTTGTGTATGTAATCTAAAAATTTAACGTGTATCAAGTTGCTTTTTACTTTGACCTATATTATATATTAGTTCGTTCCAGGTGACTAAAATGCTTCACTTTGAAGTTAGTTTCCTAGCTGATTTTTAAATTATATAGGGTATATGCTCCAACTACACTCACACGTTTCCACTATGTCGTCCCACAATATTACATATGGATATGTCACAATAGAAGCACGCCACAGTGGAAATCCCGAGCCATAGTTCAAACACTTACCCAAATCAAAATGAAGCACATATAAGATTAGTTACAATACCATGTACAAAAATAATGTTTAACATTGTTCCCTGAGTAATGCTTCAATGAAAACAACAATGAAAGCTTGTCACGCAAGTAGAAGGAGCACTGTTGGCATTTTCTGAAATATTTCAATAGTATAATTCTATTGCAAACCCAAATAAATCTATCTGCGTAAAAAGTGATTTACGGCAAAACCCGCCAGTATCACACCCAACGTCAGTGTCTATACGTAAGCGTACTACGACGCGGCTTTCAAACAAAGGAGTAACAAGTGTGATACAATCACTGCTTAGCGTTAGCGTTGTTATGATATACTTCGTAAATTGGATACTAGCGACACTCACGTCTCTTCTGAAATGCTCAGTTAGACTACTTTCAGGAATAATGCTGGGGAGTAAACATTGGTTCCAATCTAAATAAGAGTAACAGAAGCATGACTGTCGCTATTCCCGGTCACGCCCATCTTTACCATAACTAGGGATATGGAAGGAAATGTTGATGTAGTACTTACTTAACGAGAGGCCACCAACTTAGCGACACCCTCATAAGTACGACGGATTGGAGGGTTGGGTAGGGTATTCGGTTAGGATTCACCTCAAGTTGGCGATGCAACCAAAAGTATGTATTGTTTATTTAGTATCTCGATAGCCGGTTATCGAAAGAACATATTCATTTTATTTAGTGATCATGAATTTTAAGAGTCATGACGGAGAGCTTGGGATTAAACCCATGATTTTCTGCTCAGTAAGCAAAAACGATCCCTCCAGGGTCATCGAGCATCTCAAAAACATAACGCTTCGCGACAATACAGGACTACGTTTTCGCTTGATATGCAAATAGTTTCCGAGGTTAATGTTCAATATCAAATATACAAATGATGGTGGCGATTTATTGTGCTGTGGAAGAGCTTGGAGTTAAATCCATGATTTTCTGCTCAGTAAGCAAAATCGATCCCTCCAGGGTCATCGAGTATCTCATAATCCACAGCGCTTCGCGTCAAAGTACGAATATATGGATGAACTATCTATGATTGAATAACTATTATTTACGATAATTACATGAAAGAAATAAAATATAAACTACAAACAATACGTGACAACTAAGATCTCAAAAAGATATTCTCACAAATATATTTCACACAACTAGGAATCTCAAAACAATTAGGCGCTATAATGATACTCTGCACATGTTAGACACAAGAAGAGGCCAAAAAGCAAGCGTCCGACACACAAAACCCGCCAGATCCACTTGCAGTCACAATCAACGATTCTACGAATCGCGAGCGCTCACGAATCATAAAACCGCCGACTGCGACCCTCTGAAAGCGAAATTGACAGGCTCTATGCGTCAAACAACCGCCACCCAATCTCCTCCAGCATCCAACAACACAAATCTCCATTACAACATCTAACGAATTCAAAACTCCGAAAATCACTCATCTATAGCAAATGAGTGGAAGCAACCCTGCATGCAACCATTCTTCATGATACACTTTTTCTGCCTATTTTCTATTAGGCCTGTAGACATGCGTTAGCTTCAAAACTTCTAACCAAATTGGAAAAATTTTCAGATCACGAAAAAAAAAACATTAAAAAAAAACATTGTTTATTTTACGCAAAAACGAGCAAGTAATATTAAATCTCTTGTATCGTATGCTAATGCTAATTGACTGTAACAAAAATAATATACTAAAATAAAATAAAATATTAATAAAATTATATGCAAAATTTATTCGAAGATCATTACTTTATTGGTGAGAAATTTCTAATACGCCCTCCCAGTTCCTCTGTATACAGAACAAATCTGATTCTATAATCAAAATTGCTCAGTCTGCATGAAGCAGCCGATTTCATCAAGGAAGTTCTATTAACAACCAAGAATTAATCGTTTGAGGCATACCATACTGAAGCATTAAGAAGGTGATATGTGTCACTATAGGAAATCAACATCGTTGCAAATGTAAAGAAATTAAACATAACCCTTTGCTTCAGTACCGTCAACGTCCATGTCCATGGGGAGGGAGTTTCAGCAGTATCGATATTATAATCTAAAGGTGAGTTGTAAAGTATTGCAGCGTACTGGCAGCCGAAAAACAATATAAAAATAACAGTAATACACAACCGACAATATCACTGCAGGCAAGCGTGTGAAGCATGTGAATCAAATTCATCAGTACGTCACATCAAAGGCACAGGGGCTTATGGCAGCAAAAACCCCAACAAGGAAATCAAGCAAGCCAATAGGAATTTGACCTGGGCCCATGTTTCTCATGTTGGCCCTCTGCACCCCTGGAAGTTCCCAGGATACTTGAGTGAGTGAGAGCACGTGAAGAGGGACGTAACTCGCAGGAGCGGGAATGAAAGCGGACAAATTGCTCATGCAGCACAACTCTGGTGATTTTTTAGTTGATTGACTCTCAAAAACTTTGTTAAAAGATGTTTAGTTCATTCCGGGTAAAATCGACACTTGCAATATACTTGAGAAACAGGATATGCCGTAAGTTTAATGCAAAATTTGTGTTTTCTACATGTTTGTGTGTTTGTGACCAAACAACGTACATTTGATATTTATTATAAGGTGTCGATTTCACCCCGATGTGTCGATCAAAGTCAAAGTAAGATTATGTGACGTTTGTAGGTCAATAAATTACGTAAAAACAATACATCCCTGTGAAAATCGTGAAGATGTCCCTTAGGGGAAGCCCTAAGGTCTTTAAACAATTTTTATTAATTAATACAAAATATAAAATTTCAAAAAGTAACAATTTAACATAAGGCATTCGAAGCATAACTAATACAAGAATACCCTACAACGTTTTATATTTCTTCCTGAAATTCAGAATTTTATTTATTACTTGTATTAATATAAACTATTCTTATATTTTACTTTTCATGTGTTTTTCCTTGTTTTTCTCTATATTTTACATATTTCACAGTCTGATGAAAAACTTTTGCTTATGTTTTTTTTTCTTTATCTTTACTTTTCGCTGCAACTCGCAATTCAGAAAAGTATTCGCTAGTTTTATTTGTGTCTCAATCAGCTACAATACTTTTTCATCATCATCATCTTCTTCTTCTTCTTCTAATATTCCTTAATCAGCCGACACGTTTTTACGGTTTATCAAACCGTTCAATCTTTATGTTATAGTAAATGGAAAAGTTGTTCATCATGCTTTCTATTCACATCCTACCGTTTGCTCGTCTTCCGCCAACACGTGTTCGAATCATTCAGATTAAAAAACAAATAATATAGGTAGTCACAATTGTGTTGTAGTGTTGAGAATAAAAGTTAATCATTATACACTGTAAACGTTTTTAGGGTTGTTTTTCGCTTTTCATATATAGATTTCTGCATGTTTGTTTGTTCGTCCATCTTTGAATGACCGCATTGCATTTCATCTCTAAAATCCTACATAATCTGTTTCTGTAGTATTGGTTGCATCTTGAAATGAATTCGCCAGAATATCTAGATACCAATCGACGAGTTACACACTTTGCTAGTTAAAAATCGATTGTTTCTTTTTTTTACACAAACTGCAATGTTTAGTATAATAAGTGTACTATAGTCGAACTGAGAAGGTGAAAAGGTTCAACTAAATATTTTTGTTGTCGATCCTCATTATGTACTGTTTTAGGATGCAGCTTTACAAACCAAGTGTAACACATACAAACTATTGTTATGTTTTCTTATGCTCTTGTAACGGTTCTACAAGAATTTTGATTAGTATTATTATTATGTTGACCTCTTTAAGAGGAATACGTTGTTCACTATACAGGTTGTTTGTTTCCCATTACTTATTTTGGTTGGCTCCTGATAAATCACAAAAGAGAAACGATCCGCTGCTGATGCAATGTTTCTGTTTTCATGTTTATTTTTACGACTGTTTAAAAGATAATCGTGATCGGCTTCGAAGATCATTGGAAATAAAACTACTAACTAATGTGCCCAATCACATATTCGGCTACTTTGCATTCACTGACTCGGAGAAGCATTCAATTCAAACACATGTTATGTTATTGTTTTTTTTTACTATTCCTTACTCCATCTCACGCCCGCACACACACACGCACACGCACATACTCACAACACAACAACAAAAAAGAGCAAAGCTAAAGCGCGGTGCTTGGACGACTGTTTTCTGCTTAATTTTTGCTGACACTTTTGAACGAACCAATGGATTTGTCACTGCGGTTATTGATGCTGATACTTTTACTAATGTTGCGGAAATAGCATTGTTTGTTAGTGGTGATGCTTCTGCCAGTACTATTGCAGTAGTTGTAGTGTTGCATAGGTAGATCGAAACGACGTTGCATGATAAATCGGTAATGGGGGAGAAAGAGAAAAACAGAGAAAAAGGAAACGGAAGAGCATTTCGATACGAGCTGCACACTACACCGACGAGACGCACGCACGCACTCGCTCCGTTTGCGTTTATCCGTCCTCCTTCGGCGGCGTGAACCACCCGTTCTTCTCGTGGATTTGTACCAACGATTTGAAGCTTTGCTGCGCCCGTGCCAAGCTGTACTGCCCCTGGAAGATAGGGAATTAAGGTTGAATTAGGTAACTGTGTCAAATGGGGTACCTGCACTTGTGTATGTAATCTAAAAATTTAACGTGTATCAAGTTGTTTTTTACTTTGATCTATATAGGTATATATTATATTATTAGTTCGTTCCAGTTGACACCTTGAAGTGACTAAAATGCTTCACTTTGAAGTTAGTTTCCTAGCTGATTTTTAAATTATATAGGGTATATGCTCCAACTACACTCACACGTTTCCACTATGTCGTCCCACAATATTACATATGGATATGTCACAATAGAAGCACGCCACAGTGGAAATCCCGAGCCATAGTTCAAACACTTACCCAAATCAAAATGAAGCACATATAAGATTAGTTACAATACCATGTACAAAAATAATGTTTGTACTGTGTAATTAGGTAACTGTGTCGAATGAATGTCTCGTCTATTTTTGATCTCAAAAAATATTAATGGAAAATAGTAAACAATTATTGAGTGTATATCGAGGTAGGAATCGCGTCAAATATAGTGATTTCGTAGGCCAACACTTTCTACGATCCAATGATTCTTGCATGAGACTTAAGCTAGAATAAACTGTTACCGCCGAATTGATTCTGGAATAAAAAAAAAAACGATGCTAGCATTTCGGGAATAGAAGGCAAGCTCTTCAACTCATTAATTGTAAAATCGCTCGGGTTTGAGAGCTTGTTGCTTGAAAAAGGTCTTTATTAGTTGTAGATTTGAAGCTTTTCACCCTTTTACATTACATGAACTAACTTAGAAATTTTTGCTTTTCATTGGAGTAGATAATGTTAATGCTAGAGTCATGCAAGATTGCTTTCAAGACATTGGTAACACCTTGCTGGACCTTATTAATCAATCATTGCAAACTGGGCACGTGCAACAGGTTTGGAAAGAATCCTTGGTTATTCCTATACATAAAGTTGCTGCAACGATTAAAGCCGAAGAATTTCGTTTCATCAACATGTTGCACACATTAGAAAAAAATTTCTAGAATTTGTTGTTAAAGGTCAGCTGTTGGAGTATTTAAATAGTAGCTCTTGGTTCATACGTTGAATTTGGTGTTAGCTAAATGGAATGATAACTTGAAGCATAAGGTGGAGCAAGGCGGGTCACGGGGCAATATGGGTCATAAAATTGATTTATTTATGTTTTTGATTGTCAACATCAACAGGCTCAATGAATGATGGTTTGAAAACCTGTTGATTTTGACAATCAAATGAATTAATAAAAAAAAATGTACTAGCTGACCTATCTAGCTCCGTAACCCATCTTGCCCCAAAATTACCCTACTGCATACACGGAGAAAAAAAACTACCCAAAATTTGAGTTCTTTTTACTTAATATAGAGTTCAGCCTCTCCCTTGCACTCTTTATTGTTGTCAAAAAAGGACGAGAGATTTGTCTTAACGATATAGTTCAGCCCAAAAAGTTACTATTGAGTAAATTGCATATTCTGAAGTACTTGTGATACAGTTTTTGTATTGTCGCACGTCGTTTGATGACGATGTTGCAATGGTCGTTATAGTAGCAGTAGCTCAAACTTATGCAGTGACGGTGATATGCTCCGGATAGACGTGCTTGCTGACGGTGGTCAAGTTAGTCATAACTCTCCATGTAGACCACGAGTCTACACCTTGCTAACGCAGCACGTTTGGAAGATCTGACCAAAGTCTTTGAGCTCGCGACCGAGGTGCCCTACTCATAATCAGGACGACCAGACGTGTCTCATCTGGGATGGTATTACACAGCCATTAGGCCGCCCCAAAAGGCCAAAAAGTGTAGATTTGTTTTCCGGCGGTAGCTTTTTTTTGCATGGGGTATCCGACGTCATCCAGGGTAGCAGATTTCTACTTGGACTGAACTAGGTCAAGCTCTTGTGACAGAAAAGACTAGTTGATTTCCAGTGGCATGTTGTTAATGCTAATGAGTGCGTCGACACGTCTTTTGAACGACGGAACCGATCGGGTATGACGGAATTAGGCACCTGCTCCGAGAAATGCGTCCTCAATGCTTTGCGAAGGAGCCCTTCAATCAGGAATATCCAGGTTTATTTGTAGGTGTTATTCCGGTGCTCCATCATGTCGTTACTTGCGTCCATCTTCAGAAATCTGATGCACCTGAACTGTGTTAACTTTATCCTTAATAATCGTACTAATAACGAATTCATTACGAACAACCACCAATCTGAGGCTTATCTAATGCAGATGAAAATCAGTCAGAATACACTGGCAACCGCCCTACGGTAGTTTCCGAGCTCCCTGACCCAGTCTTGCTTGCCGTTTCATGTCTTCTTAGTCATTCGGGGTCCGTGGTTGAGGATGGGGAAAAGTTCTGCCAAGCAACTTCTTCAGGCAAGGTTTTCGTGAGGACGTGCGAAAACCTTGCCTGAAGAAGTTGCTTGGCAGAACTTTTCCCGATCCTCAACCACAGAACCAGAATGACTAAGAAGACATGAAACGGCAAGCAAGACTAGGTCGGGAAGCTCGAAGACTGCTGCTTGATGCGGAGCTGTTAGTCCAACGGAAGCAAGCAGAATATATCAAACTCGATAAGATCTGCTCCGATCTCTGTGAGATGCGCCTTGGATGGTGTGTTCAGGAACACGACCAACACCAAGCAAGTTTAACATTCGCTCCTATAGCATCGTTGGATGACATTGAGGAATTCTTCCAGCGCTTTTGAAGACTTGAAGTGGTTCCAGATTCGAGTCCTCGGACTATGGACGAGAAAGAGTGTGATCATAATTTCGTCGTTACTCACCAACGTATCGAGAATGGATATCGTTCAAAAACAACGTGCAGAGTGGTCGCTTTGAAGCGATTCCAGATGCAAATACGACTACAGCCGTTCACTTAATGACAGATAGATGGTAGCAGTCAGTGATACACTCAAAAGCTACAGGTGACCGTATGGTGACCAGCAAATTCCAACAATTTTCCGGGGTTTTCCCGGAATTTTGGAAAATATCCCGGTTGTACGATATATATATATATATTCAATTTAAGCATAAAACCGAATGCGATGGAGCCGAAGAAGAAATCACTAGGTTAAATGGGACAGCAACATTTTTCCTGGATCTTGAATTTGGTTCTGCGCTCGAAGTCTTCAGAATATGTCAATGAAAATTCGCTCAAAACTTAGGAGCATTTTTCATTTGATAGTTCTCAAGCATTTCCTTTGAAATCAATTCCCTTCACACAGTTTTTTTTTTCAGAATCCTTCTAAAATATGTTTGAGGTTCTCTCTGGGAGTCCCTTGAAAATTTCATATACAGTATGCAAAAAAAGATTATCCACCCCCCTACCAAATTTACAATTTTTTTGTTTTTCTGGTGAAAATCAGTTTAATTTTATGAGTGTTCCTCCATGATTTATCAATCTATGTTTATTTATCACATTGCCATTGAAAATACGGTGTTTATATCTTTTCTTGAGATTTCATGTGATAAATTATGAAAAATTGTAAAAAATTACGCAAAAAAAGTTTATCCACCCCCAAACGGATACTATGACTTAAGTGTGTTTTACAGAGTTTTAGTGTGTATTCTGCAACTTTATCGAATGTAAACATTGTGTCTATCTGTCATTTAGTGCTCTTGAAGTTTTCGTGCTCAAAATTTCAGTTACGTATTCAAAATTGGAAGTTATTTGTTGCAAAATGCAAAAAAAAGCACAAATTTCGATCAGTATTCGAAATTTGATTATTGAACATCACAAAACTGGCAAAAGCTACCGTGATATTGCCGATATTGTCCAGCTTCACAAAGATACGGTCGCTAGGATTGTGCAGATGTACAAAAAGCATGGTTCTATCTCACCAGCTGACAGTGGTGCCAAGGGTTTAGGGAAAAACAAAAAAAAATGTAAATTGGTAGGGGGGTGCATAAACTTTTTTTCAGTGGCGTCTCGTAACCTCACTTTTTACCTGTTCAACGACTTTGAAAACGTAATTTAGAGCCATAACTATATTCAAATCGATGCCAAAATGCATAGGGTCTTCTAGTTCCATTAATTTGTATCGATTTAAAGCAATAACTTGATATTTGTTTACGTGTTGAGAGATGTTGAACAGGTAGATTGAGGTTAGGGCGACACCACTGCCTTTTTTTGCATACTGTAACAAACAGTCCAGCAATTATCTGCAGAACACTCTAAAAAATCATGAAATTTGTGCATCAATTTTCTATGAATGTAATTTTTTTCTAAAAATTAACTGAAGCTTATTTCTTTTTTTTTTAACTCGCTTCAATATTCCCATGAAATTCACCTCAGAATAGTATCATTTATTTATTTATTTGCTCTCCATCTTCGACTACGTCGTACAGACTGGATAGGGGAAACTTTACCCTCCCCGATGATGCTGTTGATTTGCGTGGGCGAGAAAATGGCCTACAAAGGTTTGTTTACAAAAAGCTTGTATGCCCTTTTCACATGTGGCTCTTGATGTTTGGTCAAAATAAAATCCAACTCGCTAGAAACATCATTAAAGGAACGCAAACAAGAATTAAAGCAACTATTGAATCCAAAGTTAGTTCTGTGAAATGGAATTGCAAGTATGGGGAATTACGAAATCGTCGAGGAGGATTGGCTGGATCATTCCAGGGGAGCTGACGCAAGGCAAACCTTATAAAACTTTTCTGAATCCTTTCAACCGCAAGGATATGCGTAACGTAAAATGTAGACCAAACCGGGGAAGCATATTCTAAAATGCTGCGAACCATCGAGCAGAATAGCGTCTTGAGACAATAAACATCGGTGAAACCAGAAGCATGACGACGAATAAAACCAAGCACAGTATATGCTTTAGCAGTTACGATGTTTATGTGTTCGTTAAACCTTAGCTTCGAATCGATCGTAATACCTAGAGATCACAGATTGAATTTGCAAGTTCTAGAGAATCCGGCCCTATGTAATATTTATGGTGAATAACATTGTTACAGCGAGTGAAGGATATTACTTTGCACTTTTTGCTGTTAACGCGCA